TGTTTTAGAAAGAAATTTTCTTGAATTTTTAAGAAACAAAATATTAAAAAAGTTTTTTATAAATATTTATACAGTATATTTATTATACCTAATCCAAAATTAGCTCAAACCATTTTTTACTTAAGTGCTGCTGTACTAATAAAATTTTGTACATCAAGAAATTTTGAAACCTGATTATAATCGATTAAAATCATTAGATTTTAATCATTCCTGTGCAATAGACTTTAATCGATTATAATAAATACAAATCGATTAATTTAAATCGGTTGTTTATATATAGAGATTATAATCGATTTTGATTTCATATGGGCGGAAATTTTTAGTAGAGTGCTGTGACTATATAAAATTAGGTGATTATACTCATAAAAGCTGATAAGTAATGGATCAATTTTGGATCATTCTGTTTTTTTTTAGCTAATCTGTTCGGTATACTGCTCATAAAAACTGATAAGTAACTGATAAGTAACTCATAAGAAGTTTTACAATCACCGACAAGTAATCACTTTTAATATTAGTAATCACACTGTATCATATATATTATTGGCTTAAATCCTATTTAATCTCATCATTCAACTTAAATAATCACAAACTAATCACAAAATTAAATATTTCAACATCCCTGACGATAGCAATCGGTTTAATTCAATCAATTAATCGATTAACCGCTTGTAATCGATTATAATCAGATTTCAAAATTTCCTGATGTAACCTTTTGAAATTTATATTTTTTATAAGTTAATATAGACTTTATAATATAAAGATCAATTTTCGCAAACCTTATTTTTGCGGTCTTTTTTCTCAGCACCTAGCCTATATCTTATAGTTAATTATATTCTAGAATCTTCAGCTATTACAATACTGTTCATGCATGCATAAATTTATTTATAGTAATAGTATTACTGTAAACCAAGTAGCAGGCAAGAATATAAAATATTTATAAAAAACTTTTTTAATATTTTGTTTCTTAAAAATTCAAGAAAATTTCTTTCTAAAACATTTTTTAATTGTTCTTTTAATTGTATTGCAAAAAGTATGTAACTCATATCATAAATCGATTAGGAAAGTGATTCATTTTCTACAGCCATACGCTTTGCTTTTTTCTGCTCAATATTTCGTATCAATTTTGATTTCTCTACTTTTTTTATGTAATCTTTGATTTCTCTTCGAGATTTAGAAATTTCGGCTTGAAGACGATGCGTTCTCTCTTTATTTTCGTAAACTATATTGCGACAAAAATTATATTAATACCGAAAATTTTTTCTCGCAAAAAAAAAAAAACCATTAAGCACCTATTTGCTCGGTTAAATTATTCCATTTGAATTTTGGTAAATATTTGATATTCCATAAATCATCATGGTAAACATCACGTTTATTTCCTCCTGTTTAATAATATATTAGAATAGATTGAATAGACTGTAAGCAGTGCTGTCATCTGGACTTGACTATTCAACTGGAACATATTACTCCAGCCCAGTCCATTGGAACACAGAGTACTGGAATTATAAAGTTGTCCAAGTATCACATGATATTAATATTAATTTTCTGATTGACTATGTGTGTAAAACATCATATGCGAAATTACTATTAAAAATCTTTGATGGTGAATAATTTTTGATTTATTGGTTCATTTTGGATGATTTTACCACCTCAATGAGACGAGTTCAGCAAGCTCAAAATCATTAAAATCCAATTACAGGATCCCGAGATTCTGTAATTGGATTTTAATGATTTTGAGCTTGTTGGAATCGTTTCATTAAAACGGTCATTTTGATGGTAAAATTATCTAAAACGATTATAGATCAAAAGCTATTCACTATTATTTGCAATAACTTTTATTTAATATAATAATTTTTTGTAATAACTGGGCTGGAATATCTGAACTGGAATAATTCCAGTATTTGTTCAAGTCCTGTCCAGTAATATTCTTATTCCAGTGACAGCACTGACTGTAAGTCATTAAACCACCGTTATGACATCATACAAAGCGAAGAATAAAGCCCTTATTTCTCACTACGGGAGTTATATGGGGCCCTTTGGGCTCCCATATAAACAGGGATTTCGGTCGTTGCGAGAAATAATAGCATAAAAATAAAATAAAATCATTACCAATTGGTTGAGCGTTCAAAGCTTTTGCAACTTTTTTTGCGACTTTTTTATCCATGAATTCAACCCATCCCTCAGTGTAATTTTGTTTTCTATTTTTTTTATATTTTATTCGTCGAGCTTTTATTTTGGAATCTAATAAATTATAAAAAAAGCATTTGTAAAGTGATATTTCTTAAATTTATTTCAAAGTAGTTTTGGCAATGTATACCTTCAGGTGCAAGATAAACTCTTCCTACATCGCCAAATTGACTCAACAAATGCTTAATCTTTGCCGGCTTCATAAATGGTGGAATTCGTGATAAGTAAACCAATCCGGAAGTATTGTTGGACTGGAAGCTGGAACCCCACTGGACGTTATCCATATGTTCGTCTTGTTCGTCTCCATTTATATCTTTTACATCTAATTTTTGGTCTTCTAAATCAATTTGCTGCTCTTCCTCTGACTCATTAATTTCATATGCGTCGCTAGAAGGTTGTTCTTTTCTTTGATCATTTTCAGATTCAAGAACTTTTTTAGTGTGGCTTCTTAGCCTCATTTTTTTAAATTGATAAATTTTCAAATTTTGATACCTTTTACATCTGATCTGATAAGATAGATAATCGGCAAATAAAAACATCGATTAAATGCAACATAAAAATGCTTAAGGTTTTTTTCCTTCAAAATCTCTGAAAGGAAAAAATGCCAGCGGTACTTTCTAAGATTTCCGACTTATTAAAGTTTTCCTCAAGTAATGCTAATATTGCGAAAATAAGACAATTGATTGAACGAATATGGAGTATATATAAAAATAATCGGACAACACTGGGATGGTCAATCTGGATTTTTTCTGTTTATTTCCTTTATGTCAGAAATCGTAGTTCTCCAAAAAAAAAACGTATTACTAAAGAACGAGAAAGTACCGCTGAAACTGCAAATGAAGGTGAAAAACCAAAGAGCAGTAAGGTGGAGGTAATGTATCTTTGAAGGTTACTATTAATATTTTATGATATTCTGTTAAATGTTTTTACGATCTTAATATAGGTCGATAGCGTCTTTTTTGAACGATTGAAAAAGTTGCTCAGGATTATAATTCCGGGTATAAGATCAAAAGAATTATGGCTTTTGATTATTCATTCATTCTTCTTAGGTGATTATTCTTAATTTTATTGGTTTTACTTAGTTACATTACATTTACTTACATTTACTAACATGTTATTAATATTTTAATATAAATCTAGTATTCCGGACTATATTGTCGGTATATGTTGCTGCCTTGGATGGTCGAATCGTTAGTGCTTTGGTAGGTTAACGAATTAAACTATTCTCATTTTTCTCATTTTTACAAAATTAACCTATCGATTCCTTATAGATAAGAGGAAATGCAAAGGATTTCTTAACTGGAATAGTGTGGTGGATGACAGTCGCCATCCCTGCTACTTATACTAATAGTATGGTAAAAAAAATTTAGTTTAATATCATGACATTTATTTCTTCCAGTTTGGTAATTTAACAAGTTTTTTATATTCAGCTTACGTACATGCAAAGTAAATTAGCCATACAATTCCGCACTCGCCTCACTAATTACATACATCAAAAATATCTATCTGACATGACTTTCTACGCAATTGGAAATTTGGATGACCGTATCAAGAATGCAGATCAGTTCGTATATACATATATATATTTTGCCATTAAACTTTGTTAATAATTTACCTAATGAATAATCAATTTTAAAAGATGCATCACAGTGGATACAATGAAATTTTGTAATTCACTCTCTGAACTTTATTCTAATTTGGTCAAACCGATTTTAGATGTATTCATCTATAACTTACAATTGGTAAAAAATGTCGGTGGCGAGGGTTTGTTTGGTGTTTCGTTGATCGCACATTTATCATCAGTCGTTTTAAGAGCCTTGACTCCTTCATTTGGAAAAATGGTAGCAGAAGAACAGAGGTTAGAGGTATGCTTAATTTAACTTAATATTTAATTTAATACATGATGTTTTTTTATTTTTATATTAAACATTATAACAATATAATACATTATATCTATTTTTTAGGGTGAATTCCGCTTTACACATTCACGTCTCATTGAAAATGCTGAAGAAGTTGCTCTCTATTCTGGTCACGAAGTTGAAAAGTCCATCCTAGATCGTAATTACTTTGCTTTAATCAAACATGTTAATAGAATTTTCCGTAAGCGTATTTATCATGGCATGATGGAAGATTTCATAATTAAATATTTCTGGGGTGCTATGGGATTGGTTCTTTGTTCGGTACCCGTTTTCTTTAATATATCGGGTGACAAAAGGGAAAATCTTGGCTCACGTGCTGAAGGTAATAATAATATTAATAATATTTCGACATATATATAATATACATAATATACATAATATATAACTCACTTATTTATGCAACTTTGTTAATTTAAGGATTTATAACCAACCGCAGATTATTGATGAGTTCATCTGATGCATTTGGTCGTATTATGTATTCTTACAAAGAAATTGCAGAATTGGCTGGATACACTGCTAGAGTAAAAATAGACAAATTTAATTTTTCAACTTTACTTCTCTGTGTAAGTGATCTAACTTTTATATTGTTTTTAGGTTTTTGAACTTTTGGATGTTTTTGATGAAGTTAAAGCTGGTCGATTTAAGAAACAACTCGTTTCATCAGTTTCAATTGAAGAGAACGCTAAAGTATTGTCTGGCCGTGGCAATGTCGTCATAGATGAAAACATAGAATTCATCGATGTTCCAATCGTTTCTCCAAATGGCGATGTTTTGTTAAAAAAATTGAGTTTCCACGTTAAACCTGGGATGCACTTATTAATTGTTGGTCCAAATGGATGCGGTAAAAGCAGCTTATTTAGAATTTTGGGTGGATTATGGCCTGTTTACGGTACACATAATATTATATAATATTATTCACTAGAAAACATTTTTATCATAATTATCATAATTAATGAATTTACACTTCATGACCTTTAATTATTATTATTGTTGTAGGTGGTACCGTTCATAGACCAAATCCAAAGGATATTTTTTACATCCCACAACGACCTTATTTATCACATGGTACTTTGCGCGACCAGTAAGTATTTTATTTCTTTATATGACATCTTACTGGTGATTTATTTTATTTTATCTTTCTTTTTTAGAATAATTTACCCTCACACACCTCGTGAAATGCAAGAACGTGAGTATGAATTCTTCTCTCTGAATAACTGCCCGTTTATTTTTTTTATTAAAGGTTTATCTCTGTACAATTATTACAGGTAACGTCACTGACCAAGATTTACAAGAAATTTTAAATGTAGTTCAATTGGGTAATATAGTTGATCGTGAAGGTGGTTGGGATAAAGAACGTGAATGGAAAGACGTTCTTGCAGGTGGTGATAAGCAAAAGGTATGTTCAATATTCAGTTTGAATAATTTCACTTTTATTTTTTATTATTAACTTTATAGAAACCTTTTTCACATTTTAGGTTGCTATGGCGCGATTATTTTACCATCGCCCAAAATACGCAATCCTGGATGAATGTAGGTCATTAACAGATTCAATCTTTGTTTATGCTTATTGCTCTAATTGATTATCTTTATATAAATCTGAAAGGTACAAGCTCTGTTGGTTTGGAAGTTGAGAAAATTATGTACACACATGCTACTGGTAATAAATATAATATATACATTAAATATATTTATTTTTTTGAATTATTTACAAATAGCTATTTACTATCATCCTTAATCCTTTTAAATAGAATTGGGCATTTCTTTATTAACTGTTTCTCATCGCCCATCGCTTTGGAAATATCATAATTATATTCTACAGGTAGGCGATTTACAAAATTAGTTTATCATTCATATTTATTTAACCTTTGCTAACTTATTTGCGACTCATTTTCAGTATGATGGACAAGGTGGTTATGTATTCACAAAACTTGACGCACAACGTAGATTGGAGTTACAAGAAGAGAAACAAAGTCTTGAACAAAAATTAATTGAGGTACCAAAGTTACAATCAAGGTTAAAAGAATTGAAAGAAATGTTGCAAGAACGTGATAATTTAGCAAATAATCAAGGTGGAAGTACAGCAATTTATAATCAAGATAATGTCTCGCCTTTTGGTTTAAAATAGTTTAGTATAAAATAAACTTGTCTGTATCGGAATATTAATTTATTTTGTAATTATGTATATCATAAATTAGAAAAACGAAATTTGCAATAATAATCTTGTTATAGTGATCGGGGAATTGCTTCATAAATTTAAGTTCAATGGTTTATATTATAATTTGTTTTTTTAAGTGAAGATAATTGATCCTTATGCAAATAATCAGAACGGCATCTATCAGGGACTATCAAAAAAATTTTAAAAAATTTCGAAATTTATCAGGTCTAGGGATGTTAATCGGTCCTTTGGGATCGAATCCGGTCCAATCCTTCAAGGATTTCGATGAAAATACAATATACTTTATAAGACAGATTCTGAATTGAATTATTATAACAATACAAAATTAATTTGATTATATGGACTTATTCGATGGATTCAATATACAGGATCTAAACCCTATAAAATTGTAAAATGTATTATGTTTCATGTGATTTAAGGACCGAATTTAGGACTCTTTAGATCCCAGGATCGGACTCGCGATTTATGCAGATCTTTAAAGAATTCAAACAATATCACGTTACACGTGATTTCATATAGGATCTTTGCTAGGAAAATCACCCTTCGGGATTTTCCGATCAGACTAATTCGGAAAAGCTTAGACCAGAATGCCAGTTCTTATTCATATGTAAACCACCTTTTGCTTTATTTATTCGATAGTTTATTAAATAAACTGTCGAATTAGTAAAGTAAAAAAGATGGTTTACATATGAATAAGAACCGGTATTCTGGTCTAAATCCCGAAGGGTGATTTTCCTAGCAAAGATCCCATATTCTGATTGGTAGTAGTTATCTTCACGAAAAAATTTTTGGCGAATACCTTTTTTTTTTAATAATATTGCGGAGTGATAGAATATCATGTGATCGAAAGTGGGGCAGAAACACGATAACACCATCGCAAAGCATGTGAGAATCAAAATGTGGTGTTAAAAGAAGGGATACGGCATTGGAAGATCAAAGGCAAATAAAGAAAGTATACAACAATGGAAGATGCATAAATGAAGAGCCAAATAATGAAACGCACTATAGTGGAAAGAGTAAGCCACTTCCACAAGTGCTTGAAAAGAAATTTACACGACCCACCCGCTCCAAAATGAAGACACGTGATTCTATCATTTCTTCACTCGCTTACATGATTTTCACTTATGGCCGGCTTGCTTCGGCAGGCGGGGAATGGTCCTACCGGCTATAATAATCCTACGGCGACTCCCAGTGCAATTACGATTGCTTTGTCGCGGGATGTCATTGCCGTCCTGGCCAACTCGGTCAGCTACTTGCATCTCTACCATATTTCTGCTTGCTCTTTAATAAAATCACATCCGGGCTAAATTATTTGCCGGCATGATCCAAAAAGTGTGTTGTGTAGTGCGAATGCTTTTCGATATTATTACATGCTAAAATAAAAATAAACCTCCGGAACAGACCAACTTTTTTTTTGCAATTTGTGATAAAAAAAAAGAAATATAATCGAAATTTATCAAATACTTGTAAGAATAATTGAAATTATTAAAATATCTTAAAATTATTGAAATATAATTGAATTTATATACTAAAGATTCAGGCGTCCTGCGTCACGTGATTTAGGTGAGCCAGCCTAGTGATTATAGTCGATAAAAAATTTATAGACTTAGTCGAGTCGATATTTTAGATATGGCTTAGTTAAAGGTCAATTTATTTTCTTATATAATACAAATAATATAAATATATTATATACCTATTTAAATATCTTTCTTATAACTTTCTTAAAAAACTTTACTTGTATTTTGCCATATTTCATATATTTTCGACCTTTCCGCTGACTATGTTCGTATTTTTTATGTTGAATTACTGTCTAACATACGAAAACTTTTATATTAAAATATTTATTTATATACATAGTTGACTAAGCCGACTTTTTAAAAAATCGACTAAATTAGTCGACAAATGCTATATTGACTTGAAACACTAAGCCAGCCTTTTCAAATTCTAATAAATTTTGTCAGTTCAAAAATAGTTCTATCTATTCTTTATTGTGTTGTCTATGGAGTGGATTTATTAAATCGGACTATTAATAGTTAAAATAATCAACCAATTAGCGTAGAAGCAGAGTCCGAAGAAATATTCCTCTGGCGCCATTTAAATTTCTAGTCCACACTAGAGTGGCCGGAAAAATGTGATGTGCAAATATGTACATATTTGGTCACGTTTTATGTATATCATATGGTCACATATGTGCTGCCGTAT